GAGAGAGAGAGAGAGAGAGAGAGAGAGAGAGAGAGAGAGAGAGAGAGAGAGAGAGACTGTCTCTCTCTCTCACACACACACACACACACACACACACACACACACACACACAACCTCCTCTCCTCAGCGGCAGCGTGGCTGCGGCGTGTCCACTTGTACATAGTTAATTAGGTCAGTTGAAATCTATTTTTAGGTTTGGCGGCTCTCTCCAAAATGCGCGCAATTAGGAAATCGCGCAATCACGATTACCTAATTAGCGCTCATTAGGGTTACTTCTAACCTAATCTAAAGATCTAATGACCTATTGGGCTACGGGAAGTAAGTGTCAGCCAGGCACCGCGCCCAATTAAGGCAGATCGGGCCTGAGCACGGCCACATTCAACTGCAACTTCACGAAACTTTCAGTTTTTACAAATCGCATCTTCTTGGCGATTAAAGTTTGAATCTTTACAGCAAATTGTGTATCTTCCTACTACCATTGATCTTGTACTTACCTCACGACCTCGTAATGATGTTGAATTCTCCCGATTAAATTTCATGCAAGTATTTAATTAAATATTCTGATTAAATGTTTAATCTTATTTAAACTTTAGTCGATTTTATTTTTGCAAATTTAAGTATTCTTTAATTAAATATTTAATTTTTGCCAAAATCAAAATGTTATCTAATTAAAGCTTATTTCAAAATTCATTTTTTTTCATGGGGGAGATTTTTTTTTTTGATTCGCATCAAGTCCGAGGTCAGGGCAGAAGGGACTGTCTGTGCACTTGCTTGCCCCCCTCCCTTCTTCCCACCCCTGCCTTCTCTCCCCTCCTCTCGGTAAAACGGACTTCAGCCTCCGGCCACGTCAGCATTGTGCAGCAGTGACATGTTAGCTGCAACACGGAGCCAGGACTGCTAGATGCGCCGCTGTCAACGACTTGCTGAGCGCGGATCCAAGGGAACTCAGCCCCAACAGGGTTCCAAGTCACCTCGGATCCCACGGAAAAGACGCACGACCATGGCTAGGGCCGCTGACGCCAATACGCAAGACAACCCCAAGAGGCCGGTCACTCCTCCCGTGCCATTTCAGCAGCCCGATGAAACACAACTGGCGTTTCTCGAACGTCTCCAACTATACATGGAGACTGCTGCAGCCGAACTTCGCAAATGGGAAGAGGAGGATGCCGCCCGCCAGCAGGCGATTCAACGCAAGCTGGCAGAGGCCGAGGCAGCGTGTCAGCAGGCCGCAGCGGAAGCTGCAGCAGCCGCACAGTTACAGCAACAACAAACGGAGGCAAGTCAGAATCAAGTTCGTTACCAAGCCACAATGGAGCTCGCCAACGAAGAACCTACGTACCGGAGGTTACTTCGACAGCAACACTTTCAAGCAAACGAAGAACAAGAGGAGCCGACCGAGGAAGAGAGAAGCAAGGAGGCCATAGCCGTACTGATGGAAAACCTGTTGTACACGTGCAATTGGCAGCAACGCGAACTGATGGCCATGTGGCAGATCTTCATCCGCTACGAAGGAACTTTTCGGACGCTGGATAAGAAGATTGCTGCCTTGCAGGCCGAGAACAGTACACTGTAGGCCGCCAACAATCACCAGCAGACCATCAACGATCAGTTGCAGACCAAGGTCAGCACGGGGTTGGCACGTCTATCTGCAATTGAATCGACGGGTTGTGCAGTTTCAGACTGCAGCCCAACTTTGGCCGCTTGAGCCAAGCAACTCGAAGAGCCGATCAACCACGTAGTCACATCCCTTGGCGACATCAGAAAGTTTGTCGGGACATCTACGATCAACAATCAGCTGCAGACGCTCAGCGACCGCGTTCAACAACGAACGGCCGCCATCGTCAAGGAATGGAAAATGCCGAACTTCAAGATTGAGAAGTTTGACGACTACCTCAAGACCGATCCGCTGCAATGGTGGATGGCATTCAACGCGAAGGTGAACGTACATCACGTCCCACCACTACGGTGGCTTGACGCGCTCTACCTCCAGCTCATCAGAGGGGCTCAAGCATTCATGACTCACATGGCCGTCACGTTGGAATGCACCATCGCCACCCTCCACACCAAGATATCTTGGGAGGACTGCGAGAAGAAATGGAAGACCCGGTTCATGGTCAACAACGACAAACGTCACACATTGAACAAGATCTTCCGCATGTTTCAAGGCCAGCAACCATCACGGGAATGGCTAGTGGCAAAGACTTGTTGCCACCCCGGAGTTGAACCTGTCGTTCGACTCAATCCTGGCCGAGTTCTTCGCCCGATCTTGCGACGCCTTGACAGCTGCTCTTGGCAGCGAGTTTCAGTATGAGATCTTTGATGAGATGATCTCAATGGCAAGGGAACTCATACAAGGTAACCGGCGAGCGGCCAATGAGGCCCGCCAACAGCCCGATTACGTGGAGAAAGGCAAAGGTCAGCGGACGCCGCAAGTAGCAGCGATCCAGCAAGGATCTAGTGAGGACAACGCAGCCGCTTCAACATCAAGTGACGAAGATGTGGCGGCAGCGATACCACCACAACGCTCAAGACCCCGTGGGGGAAAACACAAGGCGAAAACAGCGTCGGTGGATGGAGCGAGACAGTCACCATGGACAAAGTTCGGGATCACCAAAGACATGTTCAAGTTATGGCAGAAATGGGGATGTTGTTTATGGTGCAACAACACCAAACACATCACTAGTACGTGCTAGGACAAGGACAAAGAAAATGTCAAGTGTCCATGCTCGGGAAACTGAGCACCGCGGGAAGTGCAGCGAGATCACTTCCCGGTCCGCCGGACTCGGCTGCCTTGCTAGCAGTCTCTCTCACGCCCGGGGACACCGCGGTAGTGGCAAGTTCTCAGATTGACTTCGAGAACTATGCTGTCCAGCTGGTCCCGCTGTTGAACCAGCCTCTCCACGTGCAAGATTCAAGCGCATGCACGGTGTTACCGCCATCGGACAACGAACCGGTTGCTTCGCCAGCCTTTCTATCGGAGGATCCGTCAACTTGGGCGAGTCTTGAGGAACTCGACCCGTTGTCGGTTGAGGACTTCCAATGGTTGCCTCTTCCCTCCACCGGTTCTTTGCCAACACCGCATTGCAACGCCCTGATGGCACATTTGCACGAATACTTGCACGTTGCAGTACCACCTCCGTCGACGGACGACGGAGTAGCGGTTGTTGACCTTCGCAGTTATCTCGCGAAGATCGACCGGGAGCATGAAACGCAACAGTACGTCGACATCGACGCGCTGCTCCTCTACATCCGCATTCAGATCGGAAAGGCGACCTGCAGTGCCTTGATCGATTGTGGAGCGACCCGCAACTACATCAGCCAAGACTTTATGGCACGCGCCGGGTTTGGCCCGCGCGTTCGAAGGAAAAGTCAACCTACACACGTCACGTTGGCCGATGGTCACACGCAAAAGTCAATCGACCGCTGCGTTGACTCCGTGTCCATGTACTTTGCCCCACTAGCATGCGAGGCCGCGTCATTCGACATTTTGGACACTAAGTTCGATATGATCTTAGGCATGTCGTGGCTGCAAAGCGAAGACTGTCCGGTAAACTTCTTCCTACGCACCATTCATGTTCGTCATCGGCGTGGCGAACTAGTCCCGTGCTCGGTGCCGCTTCCTCATCCTTCGATTGGTTGTCACGTGTTCTTCGCGGCGAGCATTCGCCAATCCATCAGCCGGCACGACATCGAGGAGATGAGCATGTGTTTTCTTCACGCCTTCCCACCCGGTGATCAGCCCAAGACGGACACATTGGACCCACGCATCATTGAGCTTTTGGACAACTATGAGGATGTCTTTCAAGCTCCCGCCGGAGTAGTACCGGATCGGCCCATACGCCACGGGATCACTCTCGAGAACGGCGCCGTACCTCCGCGCGGATGCATTTACCGCGTGAGCGAAAAGGAGCTTCAAGTGCTTCGGGCACAACTAGACGACCTCTTGGCCAAGGGCTGGATTCGCCCTAGCTATTCACCATACGGTGTTCCCGTTCTCTTCGTCCGGAAGAAGAACAAGGACCTTCGTTTGTGTATCGACTATCGAAAACTTAACGCGCAAACGATCAAGAACGCCGACCCTCTGCCGCGGATCGATGATCTTCTCGAGCGACTAGGCGGCGCCAAGTACTCAAAGCTTGACCTCAAATCCGACTATCACCAGATCGAGATCCAGCCAAGAGATCGGTACAAGACCTCGTTCAAGACGTGGTATGGGCACTTTGAGTGGATCGTCATGCCTTTCGGTCTCACCAATGCCCGACTACTTTCCAAGCGGCCATGACGACGAAATTCCGTGACCTGCTCGACCACACCGTACTCATTTACCTTGATGATATCCTGGTTTATAGCCGGTCGCTGGACGAGCACCTTCGTGCCATTTTGGAGCGGCTCCGTATCGCCAAGTACAAGGCAAACCAAGACAAGTGCGAGATTGCCCAGCAAGAGCTGGAGTACTTGGGCCATTATGTTACACCGTAAGGCATTCGTCCGCTCGCGGACAAAGTACAAGCCATTCAAGATTGGTCGGACCTCGCGTCTCCTACCGACGTCCGCTCCTTTCTCGGCTTAGCATCATACTACATGCGCTTCGTCAAGAGCTTCCAACGGATCGCTGCACCATTGTCGCGACTTCAGTCCCCCTTCGTGCCCTTCGAGTTCAATGACGAAGCCCGACAAACGTTCCATACGCCGAAGATGGCTTTGCTTCAAGCTCCCGTCTTAAGCATTTATGACCTGACCTTGCTAACCAAAGTGACTACGGATGCTTCCGGCGACGGCATTGGCGCGGTTTTGGAACAGCATGACGGCACAGACTGGCATCCGGTTGAGTACTTCAGCCAAAAGGTGCCGCCCATCAATTCCCTTGATGATGCAAGGAAGAAGGAACTGCTAGCTTTTGTCACCGTACTCAAGCGTTGGCGTCACTTCCTCCTCGGGCGTTGGCGATTCACGTGGGCAACAGACAACAATCCGTTGACTTATTACATGACGCAAGACACGGTGAGCAGCACGATCGGTCGCTGGATGTATTTCATTGACCAGTTCGACGCCACCTCCAAGCATATTCCGGGCCCCTCGAACAAGGCGGCGGATGCTCTCTCGCGAAGACCTGATCTTTGCGCCTTGGTGCGCTCCACATTTGGCCTAGACGAGGACCTGCAACAACATTTTATAAATGGCTACAAGTCGGATCCGGGATTCTCCACACTCTATGCGGACTTATCATCGGATCACCCGTCGACAAGCAATTATCGCATCACCGATGGCTACTTGCTCCTTCATACGCGAGGCAAGGACTTGTTGTGTGTTCCCCAAGACCGCATCTTGCGCACTCGCCTCCTTGGCGAATACCACGATTCGCGGCTGGCGGGACACCTTGGCGTCACACACACACTTGCACGACTCCGCCAACGTTTCCACTGACCGGAAATCATCAACGACGCCAACCGGTACATTCAGTCATGTGCAGTTTGCCACTGGAACAAAGGGCGCCATCAGCTCCCGTACGGCGAACTGAAACCATTGTCGATTCCTCGGGAACCAGGTCTCTCCGTTGCCATGGATGTGACCGGTCCTTTCCCTCGCGATCGCCTTGGCCATGATGGTATTCTCACGGTCGTCAACCGTTTGAGCAAGTACGCTTGATTTCTTCCATGCAAACATCATGCAACGACTCCCGAGCTCGCACGACTTTTGCATACCGGCTGGTTTTGCAGCCACGGCGTTTCGGAAGACATCATCAGCGACTGCGACACTCGTTTCATGTCAGCCTTTTGGACGACACTCATGGTGGAATCCGGCACCAGCATGAAACTGAGTTCCGCACGGCATCCTCAAACAGATGGGCAAATGGAACGTGTGCACCAAACTGCGCAGATGATGCTCCTCACACTCATCCGCCCGGATCAAAAGGACTGGGTTGACCGTCTTCCCGACATTGAGTTCGCCTACAACACTTCGGTGCACCCGGCGATCGGCGTGACTCCGTTCGAGTTGCATTACGGTGGACGGAAAGGTCGTATCTTCGCGGACATTTTGCTTCCACGGGCTGCCGATATCGACACCGCTTGCTCCCCCGCTTCTACACAGAAGTACCGGGATCTGCTGGCCAAAGCCCGCGCAAATATGCAAAAGGCTCAAGTCCGTATGCAGCAGCAAGCAAACCGGTGTCGCATCCCATGTCCAATCCACGTTGTCGACCTTGTTTGGGTCACCTCCGAGGAATTCGCGCTCGATCAGCACGTCTCGCGCAAGCTCCTCCCTAAGTGGTTTGGGCCATGAAAGGTCACTTCAGCAGCTGGCGACGACCCCGCGGGTCCCTCTTTCCTAATCGAGATTCCCCTGCATTTGACGGTTCACCCAATATTTCACGTTTCGAAGCTGGCGGTCTACACTCCAGCCTCACAAACGGACTTTCCAGGCAGACGGTCCCACGACCCTCCTTTAATGGACGGTCACCAGGAGGTCGACCGTGTCCTCGCTCATCGCAAGCACGACAACAAGCCGATGCAGTTCAAAGTTACATTCAAGCAATGCGATCCCGACGACACATGCCGGATTTCCGCGAAGGTGAACGTACATCACGGTGCCCTTGGCTATGATCCCGAAGACGACACAACTTGCCGCGTCGGACGGGTCCACGGTGCCCTTGGCCCGCTTTGGTTTCTGTTGCACGCGTCGGCCTGGGCCTCCGTCTCCTGGACCTCGCATCCGCCTTGCCCCCACCCGCGTCGATTTTCGCCCGGTTCGCTTTTCCCTGCCCACCTCGACCTGGGCCTCGCCCCTGCACCGGTTCCCCTACCCGGTTCCACCCCTCCACAGGTTTCCCTTGGGCCCATGACCGGGCATGTCGACGGCACCTTTACAACTTTTAGTAGTAAGAGATTATCGTGTAGGGCCGATTACCTGGGTGCGCTAGTAACTGAGTTTGGAATGTCCGAGGATATATCTTGACCTATGGTGGAAGCCTATCAGCAAGATCCAGTAATGTCCGAGATCATTCGTAAGTTAGAAGCAAAAGATAAAGTAACTTCTAACGAATTTACGATGGTAAATAACTTGTTGTTTCTTGAGAAGGCAGGGAATAAAAGATTGTGTGTCCCAGATAGAGAGTCTCTTCGTAGTTTATTTTTAGAAGAAATCCATAATGCAACTGGTCATTTTGGGTATAAAAAGACATCAGCGAACTTAGTGCAAAGATTCTGGTCGCCCGCAATGAATGATGCAAAAAAATATGTAGAGACTTGCCAGGTTTGTCAACGTGACAAGCCTAGAACGCAGGCACCACTTGGGTTGATAAAGCCCTTGCCTATCCCTGCTGGACCTGATCAGAGCGTGTCCATGGATTTCATGGATACTCTTGTGACCAGCAAAAGTGGTAAAAGACACGTCTTCGTCATCGTGGACAGATTCACCAAATATGCCAGATTAAGCGCTATGCAGGAAACCGCTAAAACTGACCTTGTCATCAAACTGTTTTTGGATAACCGGGTACGCAATTTTGGACTCCCACCATCTATAGTAAGTGATAGGGATGTAAGATTCACCAGCGAACTGTGGCCGTCAACAGCCCAGCAGATGGGCACCAAGCTGCAAATAACGCTAGGGAACCACCCTGAGTCAAATGGTCATGCAGAACAGATGAACCGAGTAGTACAGCACCTGCTTCGGCTAAGTCAGGATGACTGGGACGAGAAGTTACCTCTCGTCGCCAGCCTGTACAACAATGCTGTGCACAGTACTACTGGTATGACTCCCAACCAATTGCACCTTGGCTTGGTTGGAAGCCCAGGACTGCACTCGACTTTTTGCTACCAAAAAAACAGCCCACTGCAGCACCTCGCAGCATAGAGTTTGCCGTCAAGTGCGAGAAGATGCTGCAGCAGGCCGTCGAGCAGATTAGAAAATCCAAGGATGCTATGATCGCATCTGAGAATAAGAATAGATGGCCCTCTAACTTTCAGGTAGGTGACAGAGTCTGGGTAAAATCATCTGAACTTGGTCAGGAACTGGGGACATCTCGCAAATTGATGCCACAGTATTTTGGGCCATGGGAAGTCCTGGATATAGTTGGGGATCAAATCGATAGGCCTTCCTATGTGATCCGCATTCCTGCTCACCTATTGACATACCCAGTTTTTCACGCATCCAAGTTGGCACCTTTCGCAGAAACTACACAGTTTCCCTCCAGGCAGTCAATGCTGCCCCCAACCATGGACGGAAAAGTTGATATCGACGACATCGTGGAGCACAGAATCATGCCAGTACCGAAACCTCCCGGCAGAGGCCGGCCTCCCAAGCCCAGGATGCAGTATCGTGTCCGGCTTAGACACCATATTGATCCCAGTGAAGACTGGTGGTTCACCAGAGAAGAACTGCTGCAGACAGCTCCCCAAGTAATCGCAAGTTAGGAGAAGAAACTTAAAGGGAAGATGCCTGCAGACTGAAGAACTTCTCAGAGACTATGGAAGCGAAGGAGGAGGGAATGTGAGGATCAGGCTCCTCGGCAGGCCTAAGGGGGCCTTACTGCAGATGTGCCCGCCCTAAGTGAAGGCGGGACTGGCAGAGCACAAGGCCCTCACTGTCAATTTCGCATTTCAGGGTTCTGGCAGTTGTGTCGCGCCAGTTGGTTGCGGGAACCCAGGACCCGTGCTGCAAATACTTTGTTCGGCCTTCCAGGCCTTTCTGAAAATGCAGGCCCTGGGCCACAATCGCAGCAATATACATGGGCAGTTGGAGGCATAACCGAACGGGGGCCCAGCAGCTGCAGCAGCGGCCCATCCACCTGGGGCCTACAGGAAGTTTCCAGGCACAGGCCCACGCCCGGAGGCTGGCAGGCTCATTCCATATAGGGAAGAGCCAGACGCTGGCCGATTCATTCAGGCACTTGCTGGCTGGCGGCAGCGCTGCTGGAGAAATCGCTCACGTGCTGGCTGCTAGCGCTGGAGCAAGGTGCTGCGCACATGCGGTCGTGTGGTGAAGCAGGGCGCTGCTGAGGGCAGCGCCATAGCCCAGCCTCCATAGCTGGCTGAGGGCTTGGACATACAGCGGGGCACAGGGGTGGTCCTCGGGTGTACAGAGGGAAGACAACGGTGTTAAGATGAGGGAGAGAGAGAGAGGATGACGATGGTGATGAATCTGATGATGTGAGGGCGCATACCTGGTATTGGTGATGATCTGCATTGGGCGACATCTTCAAGTACTTCGGCGGCTGCTGACATCAACAGTTGCATTGTCAATTCGTAGGTGGATAGTAGCTGTGAGGGAGCAGTCTGGGCGCCGAGCGCCAAGTAGGGGGAAGGGCCTCGACTCTGATGTTGGTGGTGACAAGTGTGAACACTCATTGACATTCACTTTCAGTGCTACAATTCTTCATTGGTGTATTATTGGTGTAACGCTGCTCGCTGGACACAGTGAGACTATCTGGCTTTCATTGTGATTGTGCTTTCTGGATTCTGTCATCTCGCTTTGCTCATTTTCCTTGCACCAGCAGTAGCATGTTACAAATACACGACACATTCAACTGGTCGATGAAATGTCCTGCTAATGCCTGGTTAAATTTGATGTGTACCGGAAAAGGCCAAGTTTAGAGGGAGGACTGGCAGAAATGACAGGCAAACCTATGATAGTAACTGACGTAAAAGTCAGTCTGTTCTGATGAACTAATCATGAAATAAATAACATAACCAGCACTTGTCAATGCTGTCATTGCCTTTCCGCCTTTCTTGAAGTTTCTTGTCGTTTGTCCCCTATCTATCCATCAACAAAAAGTAGGATATAAAGTGCTGAGTAGTACTGACCAGTCTTGTCAAGAACTTAGTTATTTCATTCACAGGTGGCTGAACTACAACTTCTGGATGGGCGAGCGATGCAGTGATCTTGAAAAGCGGAATTCGGGGCTCAGTTGAGTAAATTTGATCTCCCTGCAAAACGTCAGTGCAAAACACACACACAGACACATAAAAAATAAACAGAAATAAATGACAACAGGAAGTATACAAACTACCTTGAAATATTACAGGTTAATGAACCGTGGACTTCTACCACAAGAGCGCCTCATGTGCAATAAGAGGAGGAGCACCGAGAGTGCAAAGCCTGGTTTTGCAATTGATCCCCCATAAAAATAACAAATTGACGGTATTGTCTTCTCGGGACTGTGGCCTGGAATCTGCAAGAATAGCCTCCTCCTGTGGGCTCCACTGATTTCCATGGCCTCACAGCATGGAATCCGCATATAAGCCTCACAAGGCACCAGCTGGCAGCTCCTGGGCCATGCTCCAATCCAAGGCTACAGGTACCTATCGGATAATTACTTCCAATATGACTTCCAGAAGCATCAATCTTGGAAAGAGTGACCACATATATATTGAATGGATGGTGATCGGAGCCTTAGCCTCCAGGAAAATCACATCTTTGATTGCAGAGATTGACTCAGAAGAGTCAGAACCCCCTGATGCCAAAGCCCCTCACACATAGGGGTAGGAGGAGGAAGGTGGGAAAGCCTTTAAAGTTTAAACCACTAGTACCTCTGTCGATTCGGAAAATAGTGGACCTTCGACCTTTCAGGAGGCTGAAACAAAATGACGGCCGCCAATTAGATTTATCAATGGCAGCCTTCGTTTGGCCCGGCCTCCGAATTCTTCAGGAGCTGGCGTTTTCCCTCATTTCTGAAGCGGCAAAGGTACTAGTGGTTTAATACCAAAACTAAAACAGACTGTTGTCGCTGTGTTGTGGTCATTCTGAAAGGGTTGCTTCGAGAGGTTTTAAAGTCTTACCTTACGCATACATGCTGATGAAAATGTCTGCTGCAACTTTTCCATTCCAGATGCCACCAAGTGATTTAGTGCATGGTAAATGCGTCTTTCCCAATATGCATAATACTCAACCATGGCCGGGGATTTCCCTGTGTTTGTTGCCACCACCACTTCTTCCACTTTTCCCAGTAAAGGGGCAATTGTCCGGTACCTTGGAAAACATGGAAATTGATACAGCATGAGAGAGCAGTCTCTTAAGTAGACAGATATATGTTATTTCAACTTATTTGACACCAAGTTCACCAACCAAATACGACACCATTCACACACCAATCTCACAGCGAGATGCGCACACAAGAAACGTACATAAGATATGAACTCGAAGATATACTTCTTGCCAATCAACTGGATTACACAAGATTGCCTTTGTACGCGTTAGGCAGACATGTCTGCTAGCCAGTCTACATCACTCGAAGGTATGGTCCCTCTCTCTCTCTCTCTCTCTCTCTCTCTCTCTCTCTCTCTCCCTCCCTCTCTCTCTCTCTCTCTCTC